GCATGTCGCATTACGCATGTTGGCCGCCATTTTCCTAGCCAGTCAATGACATTTTATGGCCAATAAACACGCTGTACTGGCTGGCTGCTCCGCCTTCTGGCCAGTAAACTGCATATTTTTGCATAAAAAAACGAGGACACGTTGCACCGCTGAGTGGCCCTTCTGTTACTGATCTTTATTCTGTGATACAGAGTGTATAAAAAAAGAAGACCTTTAGAAATTAGCCTATTGTTATAATTTCAATGCATGGACATTACGCTAAGCCACGGATATATATATATATATATATATATATATATATATATATATATATATATATATATATATATATATATATATATATATATAATAATAATAATAATAATAATAATAATAGTCTTTATTAAAATACTCAGATACATCCGTCTGAGTTTACAATCGAAAGGTAATTGATCTAGTTATATTTACAATTGTAAGTTAAGAAGCGTAAAAAGTTTTAAAAAGTTTTTAATAGATTAAAGTCTAAATAGATTAAAGTCTAAACAAAGTTATACAGACAACGATTTATGAACGACCTTTTGAATCTTTCTGTTCTCACTAGGGGGAGTTCATACTCATGCCCTCTAGACCTAAGTAACCTACTTCTTTTTTCCGGCAGCAGTTCAAGCAGTGCATTGTCCTCAGTTGATGTTATTTTGTTCCACAGTTTCTTATCTCTCTTATCACGTATTTCTTTAATGTGTGTTCGTTTTGATATATAACCATTCTTATGTGCACGTTTAATGAATTTATCTATTTGGTTCAAATATTTACCGTCGTATGCACAACCCCCCAGCTCAATAGCAAAAGTGAATATCGACATAATTAGGCTATCAAACAGCAGATCTAATTGTTTAATTGATAGTCCATAGTATTTGCAAACTCTCATAATGTACATTCGTCCACTTGCTTTTTTGAGCATTTCTTCGAAGTGCAAATCCCAATTGCACGGATTATTTTGTAGAGTAACTTCTAAAAGCTTTAGCCATGTTTTTCGCTTAATTGAAGGGATAAGCTCGGGCAAAACTACAGAGGTGTGTCTGCGAACAACCATTTCGTACGTTTTTTCCAAGTTTAAGGGCATTCTATTCTCTTCCGCCCAATCCTGTAAACAGGCAGCTTCAGATCGAGATGTTAAAGAAATACCATTCCGTGAATCGTGATTAACACGCGTGCTGTGAATCGTGAAGAGCTAAAATGCTAGCTAGGGTCTTGAATTTACCAATATTTTACCTTAACTTGTGAATGGTTACGTTTAAAACTCGGCCCAAATTTAATATTGTGGGGG